CTACTGGGATGAGGGTTAATAAGCAGAAATCACGGTTTGTTGGAGGTTAGGCGCTTGGGTAGGAGGGACCTTGGGGGAGGAGTTTGGTTGGATAACTGTAGATAGGCTAAAGATTTGTGGGATTTTGTTTTTGGCAGATGCACAGGAGAGCAGGAGGGTTAATTCAGAAATGGTAATGGACAGAGCTTTGAGTAGGCTGAGGGTCTAAGGGCCGGGGATGTAACCTTGCATCAAAGGGTTGTGGTGGTAAATACGCTGATTTATAGTAAGGTGTGGGGAGTGGCGGAAATTTACCCATTAAGAAGTCAGGATATTATGGAAATGCAAAGAAGGGTCTTAAGGTATGTGTGGGGCTATGGGAGGGCGTGGTTGGGCAAAGATGTAGTAATGACTGCGGTAAGGCAGGGAGGACTGGGATTGATTGCATTAGGGTCTAGAGTGAAGGCGCTATATGTGAAGCAGAGGTATATTCGGGCAGCGGGGGGAAAAGGGGTCTTCGGGTGGGGGAGGTGATGGGGGATATCCGCAAATGGTGGGGTGGCAGGGACTTAGTGGAGTGTGACGACATGTTGCGGTTTATGTTAAAGGTATGCAATGTTAAAAAACTCAAGGTTAAAACGGTTAGTGGGTGTGGGTCGTCGTCAGGAATTAATGCAGGGATGGCAGTGTATCCCACATATGATTGGAGGGGATATGGGTGGAATTTAGTAAATTAAGAATACCGGCAAGAGCGAGGGAATTAGTATATAGATTTCTTATGGGGACGTTAGCATCAAAAGAGGAGCTAAGACGAATGGGTTTTGTGAAAGAGGCGTCATGCGCTTTTTGTGGGGAAGTTGAAACGGCTTTTCAGTGTATATTTTGTTCTGCATTGGAGGTGGTAAGATTGTGGTTGAAGAGGGTTTTCTTTTTATTGGGGGGGGGAAAGATATCACCCTTAGGGCTTTAATGTTAGATATGGAAGGGGTACCCAAAGAGGTGGGAAGGGCTATCAGATATGTAATAGTTGATTACTTGTATGTTTCTTGGGGGATGAGGGAGGTGGAGGGGAACATTAGGATAAAAGCGTTGGCGGCGAGTTTTTATAGGACAGCATGTAGGAACAAACAATTATATGGGGGAAGGTGGGTAATTAGTTTTCCGGAGGGATATCGTGGACTTACTGTGGAACGTTTACTCCGTTTGAGTATGGGGTGAGAGGCAAGGGGTTGGTCTCTTCAGTGGTGTGCCCTCTTGGTGTGATTGGAAGCCTGATGAGGTATGGTTGATTAGTTTGCACGGTGGTTGATGTGGGTAAAGTTTATTGTAGGAGTATGTAGACCTTATGAATTTTTGTAAAATCACAGAGTCAAAAGTTGTATGTGATTTTCGGTTTTCCCTTATTGTTATAAGAATCATTTTATATAGGAAGGTTTATATTTATATGTATAATGTGAGGTTATGTCTTATATATCTTTAATCTGAAGATAGATTTAGCCTTGTCATACACCTCTTTTTTTTATTATTGTATTGAATATGTACATTATGCACTATGTACGAAAATATATAAGTATTTGATGGGGTTTATATATCCCCTTATTTTGTATGGAAGGTCCTATTATATATTGAGTGTTAATCAGTAACATTAACTTTGTGTATGTAGGTGTGTTTGGGGGAACCAATGTCTTTGTATAGTTCTATCATAGATTGTAATATTTAGTTTATTTGCAGACAAGTCATTTAGCGATTTATTTCTATGTATGATTTAGTTTGTTCTTATGAATAAGTGCACATACACGTATGTGTATATGCATGCGTATATGTATACATATATGATTGCAGGACTCGTTCCTACATGTCTTATAATGACCCTGTTATTTTAGTAGATATTGTTTTCAATGACCATTCATTAGGAAATTAATGTATGTTATTTAGAATGGGGACTGTACATACGGGGGGGGGGTGAAGTGTCGCTGTGTCGCATGACAATAATGAGTGGGGGGGGGAGAAGTGTCAGCTGTGTCGGCACTGGCAATAATGAGTATTGTAAGGAGTTTGAAGATTATGTGGATTAATAATATATAAATAACAAAGTGGAAAAAATAATGCAGATTGTAGGTTTGGGTTTTCCTTGGTTATAATAATAATGATGTAATCTTACTTAACATAGTTACATTGGATGTAATGTATATGGGATGAGGGACAGGTGTGACAACACAACGTTAATCGTCTGTGTTCATTTAGACAATGAGATTTATAATTTTGAGTAAGAACTGATACTGTGTTCTTTTATTTATTTAATGTATTGTGTTGTTTTAAATAAAAATATAAAAAAAAAAATTAACACAAAACCCTAGCTATAGTGTACTGCTACCTTAGACTGTAACCTATAGCCGTTGACTACCTTCTAAATACCTATTTTAACCACTAAGTGATCACGGGTAGTAAGTGTAGATCAGATGCAGCATTCTCCACCTGACCTCAACATTCTGAACATGACTATAAATACTCCCGTACCTTCCAACCCCAGGTAGATCCGTGTGTGACTTGAAAAAGCCCACTGTGTGGGTGAAACGTTGTCAATAAAGGATCACATTATACTGCATTTGTGTTTATATTTTCATTGTGTCGGTATTTTATACCATTTATTTCCAAGTGTGAGGAGACTTGATCTTACGAATCACTCTACCCGGGAATCCAACCTGGTACCTCTCGGCTATAAACCGAGTGCTCTAACCAATAAGCTTGTAATCTGTAGATGAATGGTTCAGAGAACCGACATGTTGATAAATTAGACACATGTGCAACTCTTGGGTATCTTTATTGAGGAAATGTTTCGCCACACAGTGGCTTCATCAGTCCATCCTGTTCTTCAAGTTTCTCCTACGTATGGACTGATGAAGCCACTGTATGGCGAAACGTTTCCTCAATAAAGATACCCAAGAGTTGCACATGTGTCTAATTTATCAAGCTTGTAATCTGTTGACATTCTCCCTCATTCCCCTCCCTCACCTATCATCAGGTGTCATCACCTGATATAAATAATTCATGCGTGAAAAAATATAACAGGGAAAACATCTAATAAACCATTACTTACGACATCAATGTGCCCTCACCACTATTGTGTATATTTTTGACAGTAAAATCATGTTTAAAAGCATGATTGGTGTCAGTGGGTACGGGATTTATTTCTTGGGTAGCTTTAGGTAGAGGTCGTTTTGATAAGGACCTGCCTTGTATGAGCCAGTAGGCTTTCTGCAGTGTTCCTCCATTCTCATGTTCTTAAATTCCTTAAATAAAGCTTGTGACGGCACACTACAGATGTAGCCAATTATGATGAATAACAAATATTACCTAAACTCTGATAACAACCCGTGACATCGTCCTGGCATGATTGTAGACAATGGTATAAACCTTGGTAATAAATACATTCCTCAGGTCACGTGCGTCACATCTCACTCTCCGCCTATATATATAATGTCTTTCTACCTCTGTATGTTAGAAGTGTAATAAAGTTGGTAGAATTACCGACAATATGTAAAGTAAAAGGACACAAGTGCAACTAATGTGACATTTATTGTGGCAACGTTTCGCTCTCCAGGAGCTTTATCAAGCCATTACAAACAATACATGGACACAGAGGGTATATAAAGGCTCTGAGTGAGGTGCACCTCACTCAGAGCCTTTATATACCCTCTGTGTCCATGTATTGTTTGTAATGGCTTGATAAAGCTCCTGGAGAGCGAAACGTTGCCACAATAAATGTTACATTAGTTGCACTTGTGTCCTTTTACTTTACATGTTAGAAGTGATCAAGGTCCCAGGACCGAAACGTTTTCTAATAAATGTTATAGTGTTTGCTTACGTGTCTTTCTAAACCATTGTAGACAATAACCCATCGTTATCCACTGTACCAGCAAGCCGGTACAGTGGATAGCGCACTGGCTTGCCAGTTTCAGAACTGGCTTACCATGGGGCCATACCTATGGCAAGAGCAATTTGAGGCGTTTTCTGACATTTGATTTTTCTTAACTATAATAAACGTAGCAAAGAATTGATATTATATTATTTTAAAATATAGGAAGTATCGTAAATTTTAATTAAATTTGTTAATGTGTAGTTTTAAAAGTAGGTTAGACAAATACATGAGTGGGTGTGAGTTGGACCTGACTAGCTTGAACCAGTGGGTCTGATGCAGTGCTCCTTCCTTCTTAAGGGGATGTAACTTGGACCTGACTAGCTTAACCCAGTAGGTGACTTGAACCTGTCTGGCATGAACCAGTAGGCCTGTTGCAGTGCTCCTTTATGTTCTTTCAACTCCATTTAAAAGAGTACAAACTCCACCCATTGTGTGAGGTAACTCTGTGTTCTTACCTGTTTGTGGTTGCAGGGGTCGATTCACAGCTCCTGGCCCAGCCTCTTCGCTGATCGCTACTAGGTCCTCTCTCTCCCTGCTCCATGAGCTTTATCATACCTTATCTTAAAGCTATGTATGGCTCCTGCCTCCACTACCTCACTTTCCAGGCTATTCCACTTCCTGACAACTCTGTGGCTGAAGAAGTACTTCCTAACATCCCTTTGACTCATCTGAGTCTTCAACTTCCAATTGTGACCCCTTGTTTCTGTCCCATCTCTAGAACATCCTGTCTCTGTCCACCTTATCTATGGCTCGCAATATTTTGTATGTCGTTATCATGTCTCCCCTAACCCTCCTGTCCTCCAATGTCATCAGGCCTATTTCCCTTAGCCTTTCTTCGTAAGACATTACCCCTAGCTCTGGAACTAGCCTTGTTGCAAACCTTTGCACTTTCTCTAATTTCTTGACGTGCTTTACCAGGTATGGGTTCCAAACTGGTGCTACATACTCCAGTATGGGCCTGACGTACACGGTGTACAGTGTCTTGAAAGATTCCTGTGTGTGTGTGTGTGTGTGTGTGTGTGTGTGTGTGTGTGTGTGTGTGTGTGTGTGTGGTGTGTGTGTGTGTGTGTGTGTGTGTGTGTGTGTGTGTGTGTGGTCTCACCTCTTTTCTGACTCCTGGGAAGATGATGATGAAGGCTATGAAGACTGTAAGGAAGAGGAGGCAGATGGTGATGGTGGGAACATCAGCGGTGACGCTGGTGCGGTTACTGTAAGCGTAGAGCGTAGGACCTCCCTCAGAGCGGAAGGCGTCGAACCAGCCTTTCATCCTGTTCTCAGCCTTTCTCAGGTACTCGGAGACGTTTCTGCTGGGCCGCGCGAGACGTGCAAGAGAGAGGGAGGGTGTGGTTAGGTCTGGTGCCCGTCACTGACGTTTGGTTATTTTGGTAGGGGGAAGATGGAAAGAGAGAGAGAGAGAGAGAGAGAGAGAGAGAGAGAGAGAGAGAGAGAGAGAGAGAGAGAGAGAGAGAGAGAAACATACAGATAATAACACACTACACACAAAGACTAACATAAATCACAATAAAGTATAAAATATGTTTGTCTTCATCAACTTCATTCTTACCACTGGAGGACACTTTTTTTTTTTGTTAATAACTTCTCGAGTTGACATGTTTTTCACATGCGGACGCCGCCAAGCTGAAGCTTCACATTCCACTTTTCCCCTCTAACGTATGTGCGATTACCCGTTTGTAATTACTAAAATGCGTGCATGTGCGTGTGTATGCGTGCACGTCCTCTGTCTGAGTACTGTTGCATAAGGCGAGTGTGGCACTTGTTACTCCACTAGCTGCCGCTATATGTTTAATAACAACCTTGTGAAATAATGGAACTGAGTGTATGTGTGTTCCCTTTCTCTCCGTCCTCCCTTACCTTTCACCTCAACGTAAATATGCGAGATTGTTCACACATTAATGTTATTTAGATCTCTCACTGGCTACAGTGATGTTTAACAAGCTTGAAGTGCTCTACAATCCTGGCATGGAGGATCAGTCTTAGTGCTCCGATGTCCACTTGAACCATCAACACGATGAACGAACTGAAGTTTTAGGTTTCATATGAAAGAATAACACAGTGGAAGATCGCGAAAGACCAGACGTCGTCAACACGACTCAGGGATGTGCTGTGTCATGCCTACAACATACCAGTCTCTGCAACACACCGCAGTCTCTACAACATGACACACAATGTCAACAACGTACCAGTCTCAATAACGTACCAGTGTCAACAACGTACTACACAGTCTACAACATGACACAGTTAACAACGTACCAGTGTCAACAACGTACCACACAGTGCCAACAACGTACCACAGTCTACATGACACACAATGTCAACAACGTACCAGTCTCAATAGCATGCCAGTGTCAACAACGTACTACACAGTCTACAACATGACACACACTGCCAACGTACCACCATATTGGCTAACTGGCTGAAGGCAATGTAACCAAGTAGAACATCACTATTAAAGGCAGTATACCTGCCACCGACATCCCTGCCTACTGATCATCCAGTGCACGGATAACACACACACCTGGCGTGGGCAGGAGGAGAGTAGTAGCAGGGTGAATTGGTAGGGAGGGCAGTGGCAGGGTGAACTGGCGGGGAAGATTGGTGGGGAGGGGGGAACAGGGCCGTGGAAGGTCGACAGTGACTTTACGAAAATAATTATATATTGAGAATTTATACATTTAACGTGAATATCGTATTTTTATTATGTTCATGAAGGATCGCTAAACCTGTAGGAGTCATACAGTGCGTGGGTTAATGGGAAATATTTAGAGTTCCCTTTACCTAATAATATTTAGATTCGAGCCAGGAAAGGGATGCTCAGGGCCAATTCCTTGGATCAAGAGCCTCTGATCAGCGTCTGGGAAACCTTCCTTGAGAGGATCATTTGAGTAAACATGTTTGACAGTCACCTGTGTGATGGCCAACTGCAGAATATTACACAAATATCTTACAGATTTTCCGTACAGTGTCTGTTCTATCTAAATACCAGACATTGGTTAGTTGTATGACTGGTGGTGGTGTTGGAAGGTGTTGCAAGGAAGTGCCAGTCATTGTTCCTGGTTCATTAAGGTTTAAGCAGCAGTAACAGTAACAAGTGGCAACCATGTGCTCCTTACAACCAATTATCTTGCTTCCTTTCCTAGGATTTTTTTGCTTTCTCCCATCCTCTCTATCTTGCTGCCTTTACGCCTATTCTCTTTCTCACGTACTCCTCCCATCCTATCTTGCTTCCTTTCTCATATTCCCCCTCCCTATCTTCCTTTCTTATGCATCCTTGTTTCTCACATCTTCCTTCCTAACTCGCTTCCTTTCTCTTATCTCCCTCCTTCCTTATACTGCTTCGTGATGTCATGAGCACCTCCCACACGGTCACCAACACTCGCAGATGCTGCCTCACATTCCAATGCTCCCACACTCCCTCTTATTCATTCATGACTCTCACCATTTATACAAATATTGCCCCAGATGCCACTTAATGTTTTCATATTCCTGCGGTTTATTCTTTAGATGCAAAAACACAAAAAAGACACTTAGCAAGAGGCTTTATGTGTAGTAGGTTGTCATTGATGTCAGCTAGGCCTGTTTACCTTGTATATATACTTGTAAAAATAAAGATATAGTTATTATTAAAAATAAGGAGAGAGACATATGATAACACAGAGACGGCATAAATGTGTTCTGTATTGTTTTAATCAGTGCAAATGGATATTTAGGGAAAGGGGGGGGGGGTTAGTGTCGAACTGTGCGACTCGACTCGCTTGTGTCACATTCACTCTCGACTTAAATAAGATGACGAAATTAAGGCACCAAGGTATTTTTATGAAGTGGGAGAAGGGAGGTGAAGCGTGTAGCTCTTTGTCTCGTTAAAAAGTGTGTTGCAATTATTCTGCCTTGTTAGCTACGTTTAACAAGGGCAATTATAAAATGTTAGGCCATTACGAACACTAACTCATATTAAAAAAAAAAATGCTTTTTTATATGGATTATTTGCTTTTCTGAACGTCTAATAGCAAAAGCACCGCTAATAATAATAAAAACTGTTTCTCTGTCATTTTCACGTTATTATCAAATTATCTTGACTTTAAGACCCACTCCAGTTTTTTGTAATTTGTAATTTCCAACAGAACGCTAAACCGGCAAGACAAACAATGTAACCATAACAGGGAGATGACAAGACAACATTTGATCCATGCGCATGAGGTGATAAAGTGGCGAGTCCTTCAGCCAACTTGGCAACACATGGGAGACCAGAGAGCGTAACATAACAGTACCAGGCAGCAGGTGAATACCAGAGGCCATAACACCTTCACTATCTCGGCCACGGGAACAACCTGCTGAATTCAACGTTGCCTGCATTCACATTACAGTTGTGACCGGGTGTGGACTTGTGAATGGTTCATTACTTTGTAATTTGTTCATGATTGTAACTATGTATATATGTGTAGATGATTCATTACCTTTGTAACTTGTTCAGCTATCATAACTTTGGGGTCCAGTCCCTGGACCCATTATGTACCTCTGTAATCTTTTGACTACCGCCCACAGGATGGGTATGGGGTGACTAACGCCCACAGAATGGGTATGGGGTGACTACCGCCCACAGGATGGGTATGGGGTGACTACCGCCCACAGGATGGGTATGGGGTGACTACCGCCCACAGGATGGGTATGGGGTGACTACCGCCCACAGGATGGGTATGGGGTGACTACCGCCCACAGGATGGGTATGGGGTGACTACCGCCCACAGGATGGGTATGGGGTGACTACCGCCCACAGGATGGGTATGGGGTGACTACCGCCCACAGGATGGGTATGGGGTGCATAATAAACATATTAAACTAAAACTGCATTCGCCGATATGAGAGTTACATAGTTGGGACAGACAATAATTATTTCTTTTTCATATTCCATCACAGAGGATGAGCTGTATACATTAGTGAAAGCTGTCAGCCTGATGAGTATATATATATATATATATATATATATATATATATATATATATATATATATATATATATATATATATATATATATATATATATACTCATCAGAATAGAATAAAAAATATATAGGGGGTGGTAGGAGAAGAAAATATTCAAACAGCTCCGGGGAGAACCTTGAGTTTTCCCTGAGGTACGTTTATTGTCTTCTCTGAGGATGAGGGTCCCCATTCCAGCTATAGAGGTGGTACTTCCCTATATATTGAAATATATATATATATATATATATATATATATATATATATATATATATATATATATATATATATATATATATATATATATATATATATATATATCAGTGATGGGATCCACCTCTGGTGTAAATTGTGGGACCCACAGCCTCGGAGAAGTGTGTATATGCTACGTTTATTCTCTAGTATTGGGGTTAAAGTATTCTTGGTGTTAGTGCACAGATGAATTACAGACAAGGTTTAAACCTAACAAAATAAACCTAGAGGTTTATTTTGTTAGGTTTAAGAAAAAAAACACGGTACAGGTGGGGGCCTCAACTCGCGGCAAAAGTCGTAAAACTCTAAACCAGCTTTGGGCGAAACGTGTTAAAAGGGATTCTCTGTTACCAGTATATTAATTCCCTATTGTCATTGTCTATCCAGCTAAACTTATCCCCTCCCCTTGGATCGAGCCTAAATGCCTTCCGCTACGCAAGCGCTATGTGACCCCCGATGGGTTTAGCACCCCCCCCCCTCCCATGGAGCTGAACTCTTCTCCAAGTTGAGGGACTGACCACCTCAAATACTATATCTCCAAGGTTGATGTACCTATTACATCATGTTTACTTCGCTACTACCTCTGTATCTGACTGAGGAAGCTTACTGTGTATGCGAACCGTTCCAGCAACATCCAAACTATTACACATGTGACTTACCTATGAACCAGTTGGTATTTTACACGATTTTCAGCATCCTCTCAGTTCGCTGAGAGTCACTCCTCCCAGTGACTAAACAAGCGATGATATTGTTAAGTGTCTATTGTTCATTTACTGATAAAATCCCTTGTTCTTGTGGTAATCAATGTTCTGATGCTGTTGTTGTCTCTGCTGAGTGGAGATATGACTCTGTGCTCACAGTGACGCGATCCTAGTGTTTGTCTTGGTGTTCTGACGGTAACGGAATGTATTTAGCAGAGTTATCCATTGAGTGAGACCCTGCCAAGAATACTGAACCTTATGTTCAGTAATCACAGGGGCGATTATTATTTATTGTAGGCACTTGTTGTGTTCGTTTTACCCGAGTTCCGGTGGTTAACGACCATTCACTGGTTTAAC